AATGTGCTCTCTGAATAAATGAAATCATCCAGGCGTGGTAGCTCACACCTGTAATCTCAGCACTTTGGAAGACCAAGGTGGTAGATCATTTGACGCAGGAGTTCAAGACCAGCCTGGGCAACATAGGGAAATCCCTGCCTTGACAAAAAGTTTAAAAAGTAGTCAGGTGCGGTGGCGCATACCTGTAGTCTCAGCTTCTCACTTCCCAGGAGGCTGAGGTAGGAGCATTGCTTGACACCTGGGGACAGAGTGAGATCCTGTCTCAAAAATAAGTGAAATCAGGCACCATCACGGAGTGTGGTCACTTGGAAGCCTGGACCTTGACCCTTGGTGTCATCCATCACCTGGAAGACCCTGAACTTTCCCTCTGTGGGCCTGAATTTTCTCATGGACCAAATAAGCACAGAATGGATGAGTTTCCTCTGGCCTGCTTGGAGGCCATAACACACTGAGAGGTAAGGGCTGCTTTGCTGCTCCCTGCTGTCCCCTGCTGCAGCAAGGAGAGAACCGGATCTTGGGGATGACCCAGCACTCCTAGGGGTGATAGAGTGCAGCAGGCTGATCCCTGATACCCAATACCCTTGTGATTTTTTTTTTCTTTGAGACAGCATCTTGCTGTGTTGTCCAGGATGGAGAGCAGTAGTGTGATCACAGCTCACTGTAACCTCAAACGCCTGGACTCAAGCGATTCTCCCATCTCAGCCTCCTGAATAGGTGGGACTACAGGTGTGTGCCACTACACCTGGCTAATATTTTTGTTTTTTGTAAAGATGGGGTCTCACTGGCCGAGCGCAGTGGCTCACGCCTGTAATCCCAGCTCTTTGGGAGGCCGAGATGGGTGGATCACGAGGTCAGGAGATTGAGACCATCCTGGCTAACATGGTGAAACCCCGTCTCCACTAAAAATACAAAAAAATTAGCCGGGTGTGGTGGCAGGCGCCTGTAGTCCCAGCTACTTGGGAGGCTGAGGCAGGAGAATGGTGTGAACCCAGGAGGCAGAGGTCGCGCCACTGCATTCCAGCCTGGGCGACAGAGTGAGACTCGGTCTACAAAAAAAACCAAAAAAGATGGGGTCTCAGTGTGTTGCCCAGGCTGGTCTCAAACTCCTGGGCTCAAACGATCCTCCCACCTGGGCCTCCCAAAGTTTTGCTGGGATTACAGGCATGAGCCACTCCACATGGGCCCTCTTGTGATCTTAATCATTGTGCCAGGCTCTTCACATTCCATCCTCAGCATCCAGGTTTCCACCTTCTTGAATATGTATCACAGAACTAAGTCAATCTCTTGGAAGATTTGGTTAGCTCGAATTTCCTTCCTGAAACTCAGCCTTCTCATCTGTTCAATGGAGATTATAAACCTGACCCACTTTCCTCTAAAGTGGATGAGAATAAAGATCCACTGATAATAAAGATATAAAATTGCCAGCCAAGAGTGGGGGTCCCCTTTATACTCTGGCAGGAGGAAGAAGAAGAAGACTGAGGATGTTGAGAAGCCTCAATTTCATCAAGTATAAAATGTGATAAATAACGTTGCATTTGGGATTTTTTTTTCTGTCGCCCAGCCTAGAGTGTGCTGGTCCAATCACGGCTCGCTGTACTCTTGACCTCTTGGGCTCAAGTGATGCTCTTGCCTCAGCCTCCCAACTTGCTGGCACCACAGGCATGCACTACCATGCCCAGCTAACTTTTATTTTATTTATTATTACTATTTTTAATAGAGATGAGGTCTCACTATGTTGCCCAAGCTGGTCTTGAACTCCTGAGCTTAAGTGAGCCTCCTGCCTTGGCCTCCCAAAGTGCCAGGATTACAGGTGTGAGCCACTGTAACTGGCCTTATTATTATTATTATTATTTCTAGAGATGAGGTCTCACTATGTTGCCCAACCTGGTCTCAAACTGCTAGGCTCAAGTGATCCTCCCACTTTGCCTCCTAAAGTGCTGGGATTACAAGTGTAAGCCACTATACCTGGCTGCATTTGGGATTGTTGAAAGACCGAAAAGAAAACTTAGATACTCTGGCATACAGTGGGCTCAGAAAACAGTACCCTAAAATGAAGGCCTCAGCAGCAGCCTCAGAAGTAAAAAGTTTTCCTCCGACTCTCTCCTCCTGTCTCTCAGTCCCATTTTCCCTGAGGCTAGCCATAGACACGAAAATCCCTCTTCCCTGAGGCAGGTCATAGAAACCAGAAGCCCTTTTCTCCAAAGCCAACCTACAAGCCTAAAAATGTTACTCTGTTTTTCCCTCTGTCCTATCTGTAAAAACTGGCCACAAAGAAATTACCTGACCTACTGTGTTTGACTGTAGGTCGTAAGACCCCCATTCCACAGAGCATCCTGCCCCGTATCCAGAAGGAAGGAATGTATGCTCAGAGAAGCCAACAAGGATCTGGACAGGTCAGGCATGGTGGCCCATGCCTGTAATTCCCACACTGTAGGAGGCCAAGGCGGGAGGATTGCTTGAGGCCAGGATTTCAAGATCCTCTATGTGGCAAAAGTCTAAAGGAGAAAGAGACAGACAGCAACAGCTCGTCATGGAAAGTGTGGCTGAGGAGAAAGACATGAAAAAGGCTTCAAGAAATTTCCAATTTGAGTCTCAAAAGGCAAGACCCTGTTTCTACAAAAAATTAAAAACTTAACAAACTTTGCTGGGTGTGGTGGCACACACCTGTAGTCCTAGCTACTCAAAAGGTTGAGATAGGAGGATCTCTTGAGCCTAGGAGTTTCAGGTTACCGTGAGGTATGATCGCACCACTGCACTCCAGTCTGGGCAATAGAGTGAGACTGTGTTGCCCAAAAAAAAAAAAAAAAAAAAAACACCTGGACAGACAGGGGCCTTAGGGATTTCCCCACTCATTTTACTCTCCTTACAGCATGCCGTCTTGTCCACTCATATTGCTATATGGCCTTCCATACTCTATTGACCATAAGCATTAAAATGGACAATTTTTTCTGTATCTTTGGGTCTTTGTTCTGAAGACTCTCATGTACACACATTAAAAATAAAATCATATGCCTTTTCTCCTGCCTCGTGCCAGTGATTTTTCACTGAATCTTCAGAGGGCAAAGAAGGGAAGTTTCCCCTTGGTTCCCCTAAGTACTCAAAACAATACTGGGGGTCGGGAATGGTGGCTCATGCCTGTAACCCCAGTACTTTGGGAGGCTGAGGAAGGATGATTGCTTGAGCTCAGGAGTTTGAGATCAGCCTGGGCAACGTAGTGAGAACCCATCTCTACTAAAAAACAAAAAATAAAAAAAAGCAGTACCTGGGAAACCAAATTAGTAAGCAAAAGATGGCCTGATAGACATGAAAATGAGCACAGAGGCAGTAAAATAGTGAGCCCAGCAGGGTCATGATACTTACCACAAGCCAGGAGATTTACTAATCACTTTCTATTTTAGGAAATACTAATATATTTAATATTCATTCATTCAAAAAATGTATGAGTGGCTACTATATGCCAGGCATTTTTCAGGGTGCTAGTCATATAAAAATGAACAAGCGACAAAGATTCCTGCTCTTGAGCTTACATTCTACTATGCTAAAATGCAATAAACACATTGGGTGACAGGTGCCATTGAGTAAAATAAAGCCAGGTAAAAGAGAACAGAGATCCTGTGTGGATGAGGGTAGAGAACACCAGGACTACAGGCTAGATTTTAAGATTCCTGTTTTATAAAGGAAAAAAAAAAAAAAAAAAAAAGCCTCAGAGTTGCCTAAGCTGCTTTCCCTTGCCTTTTTTTTCTTGGATATGGCGTCTCGCTCTGTTGCCCAGGCTGGAGTGCAGTGGGTGGTATGGTCTCGGCTCACTGCAATCTCTGCCTCCCAGGCTCAAGGGATTCTCCTGCTTCAGCCTCCCGATTAGCTGGGATTACAAGCACCTGCCACCATGCCCGACTTATTTATTTATTTATTTTTTGAGATGGAGTCTTGCTCTGTCTCCCAGGCTGGAGTGCGATGGTGCCATCATGGCTCACTGCAACCTCCACCTCTGGGTTCAAGCGATTCTCCCAGCTCAGCCTCTCAAGTAGCTGGGATTACAGGTGCCAGCCACCACGCCTGGCTAATTTTTTGTATTTTTGGTACAGATGAGGTTTCACCATATTGGCCAGGCTGGTCTCGAACTCCTGACCTCAGATGATCCACCCGCCTAGGCCTCCCAAAGTGCTGGGATTACAGGTGCGAGCCACCCTGCCTGCCCTTTTATTTTTTTTTTAGATAGGGTCTCAGTCAGTCCCCCAGGTTGGAGTGGAGTGCAGTGGCCTGATCATGGCTCATTGCTGCTTTGGCCTCCTGGGGCTCAAGCCGTTTTCCCAGGGCTCAAGTGGTCCTCCCAGGCCTCAAGTAGTCCCTCAAGCTCAGTCTCCCCAGTCACTGGAACTACAAGCCTGCTCCACCACGCCCAGCACATTTTCTGTATATATATACTTTTTTTTTTTTTGTAGAGATGGGGCTCTCACTCTGTTGCCAAGGCTGGTCTTGAACTCCTGGGCTCAAGTGAACCTCCCATTTCATCCTCCCAAAGTATTGGGATTACAGGCACAAGCCACCATGCCAGGGCCAAGGCTCTTCTCAACTGCTGCAGCAGACAGCTTGGTTCCTGCCTCTTTGCAGACAGAAGACTTGTGTCTCAGGCTCAATGCTTTGTCTCATAGAGTGCTGGACACACAAGAACAAATTATCTTTCTCTAGGTATCCATTTTTGGCTCTAGGCTCTCTGCTTCACAGGTGGATGGAGTGATGGGGAAGATGCTGTGGCCAGTGCACACAGGTAGGTTCAAATCCTACCTCCCTGTGGTCTTGGGCAAGCTGCTTACCCTCTCTGCCTCAACTTCTGCATCTGTATGTAACTTTCGCAAGTTTGTAATGAGGAGGGCACTTAACACAGAGACTAAGCCAAGCAGTAAATTCTTCCTATATTACTGTCTTCAGGCAACACAGTTGCTCAGTCATTTCACAGTCATGACCCCTTCCGGGGAAGCCCGTGGGGCACTCTGACTCACGTTGTAGACTACTGAGCCACGTCCCTTCCTTGGCTCCATTTCTGCTCCCTCCACTCCACGAGGTAGGCACTGGTGTTTCCGCTTTCCAGCTGGGGAAACAGAGTCAGGAGGTTAAGTGGTTTGCCGACAGGGCAAGGCACGGGGATGGGGCTGTGACTCCCAGGGCAGCAGCCCCCTCAGGGCGCGGTCTCATGGCCCAATTTCTCTCTGTGGTCCCAGGAAGGGGGTGAGGGGTGGCAGGGGGCTGTTGGCTCTGCCTTCGCTTCGGACCCAGCCAGGCCGCGGGATGCTCCAGTCTTTACAGTGATGACCCGATGGCTTTCCTCAAAAGAACTTGGACCACTCTCCTCCAACTCCCTCCCACAGACTGCTAGTGATGCCTGTAAAGGTAAAGTGAGGCTGGAGCCAAACCGGGAACAAAGACACAAGGCAAACGGCAGTGAGAATAGCCTTTATTAGGACTCGCGGGCGAGGTTCCTCGGTCCAAAGGTGCAGGCCGAGGAAGTCACGCTGAGGGAGGAGGGTAGGGGCTTTTTATAGCCCGAGAGGTAGGGAAGCTGGTTGTGCAAATAGGGCCTGGAGAGTCTTGAAACTAGTAGGGCAGGAGTTGAGTAAGGGTCATGAGGAAGGGGTCTTTGGAAACTGTCAACCAAAACTGCTGTTTCCGAACTTGTGGAATGCAGGTGAGCTGTGGAGTGTGGTTGCCCAGCCAGAACTCTGACGCATGTAAGTCTGCAGGTGTGTACAAGTGTGAAGGGAGTCTTTAACAAAAGGCCTGCTATACCGGGTAATGCCGCCATGTTGGGTCTAGATTCCTGCCTAACAACGCCCACACCCATTTCCCCCTGACCACTGTCTAGACCCCCTTCAGCCCCTGCCAGCAGAGCTGGACCGCAGCTGGGACTCAGACCGCTGTAGCCACGCCTACCCATGCGGGAAAGGGCGAGACATGCAAATTAGAAATGGCGCTTCAGCCACGGGGCAAAAACCGATCTGAGAATTCACTTGAAAATGTAGCCAACAATAAGCCATGCCCAACAGCTTGCTGTTTTTAGCAGGCCTGTTGAGAAACAAAGGGAGTTCTCAATTGCCCCTGTCGTGGCTCACTGTGACGTGAGTGTAATATGCGTGACAGGAGGGCGGTAACGGCGCCAGCCAAAATGCTAACGTTACTAAAATTTTCTGGCCTTTTAGTTCATGTCATGTGTAATTTTGTGTTTATACTAGCCTACTGTTTATGTACCTTCTCTATCCAAGGATGCTATGTCAAATGGGCCTTTGGAATATGAGAGTTAGAATAGAAGGTTATATAGTACTTCTAGCGAAGGTTAACTTTTGTTTTTTGGGTGACTGAGTGTTGTGTTTCAAATATTAGTTTGTTATATTCATGTTTCTATTGCATTATATTATGCAACTGTAGTTGAGTTTTTATTTAAGGCTTCTTTATACTTTTACTGGCTTCAGAACTATGAACTCGACTTCCCAGACTCAAATGGTTCTCCCACTTCAGCTTCCTGATCTAATATTTCAGTGATTTCAAGAACGCTGCATTCATTCCTCTCCACATGCACAATTGCCAAAAGTAGGCTTTATATTCTTGCTATTTTTTTTTAGGTCCGTGGCTAGTCTCCATTTCCTTTTTTTTTTTTTTTTTTTGAGATGGAGTCTCGCTCCGTCACCCAGGCTGGAGTGCAGTGGCCGGATCTTGGCTCACTGCAAGCTCTGCCTCCTGGGTTTTACGCCATTCTCCTGCCTCAGCCTCCCGAGTAGCTGGGACTACAGGCGTCTGCCACCTTGTCCGGCTAGTTTTTTTGTATTTTTTTGTAGTAGAGATGGGGTTTCACCAGATTTGGGCTTACTGCAACCTCTGCCTCCTAGGTTCAGGCGATTCTTGTGCTTCAGCCTCCTGAGTAGCTGGGATTACATGCATGTGCCCACCACGACTGGCTAATTTTTTGCATTTTTAGTAGAGATGGGGTTTTGCCATGTTGGTCAGCTTGGTCTCAAACACCTGACCTCAAAGTGATCCGCCCATTTGGGCCTCCCGAAGTGCTGGGGTTACAGGCCTGAGTTACTACACCTTCTTTTCTTCTTCTTTCTTCTTCTTCTTCCTCTTCTTCTTCCTCCTCTTCTTCCTTCTTCTTCATCTTCTTCTTCCTCTTCTTTCTTCTTCTTCCTCTTCCTCTTCTTCTTTCTTCTTCTCCTTCTTCCTCTTCTTCTTCCTCTTCTTCCTCTTCTTTCTTCTTCTTCCTCTTCTTCTTTTTCTCCTTCTTCTTCTTCCTCTTCTTCTTCCTCTTCTTCTTCCCCTTCTTCTTCCTTCTTCCTCCCCTTCTTCTTCCTTCTTCTTCCTCTTCTTCTTCCTCTTTTCTTCCTCTTCCTCCTCCTCCTTCTTCTTCTTCTCTTCTTCTTTTTTTTTTTGAGATGGAGTTTCGCTCTTTTTGCCCAGGCTAGAGTGCAATAGTGTGATCTCAGATCACTGCAACCTCCACCTCCTGGGTTCAAGCGATTCTCCTGCCTCAGCCTCTGGAGTAGCTGGGATTACAGGTATGTGCCACCATGCCTGGCTAAATTTTTTTGTATTTTTGGTAGAGGCGGGGTTTCTCCATCATGGTCAGGCTGGTCTTAAACTCCCGACCTCAGGTGATCCACCTACCTCGGCCTCTCAAAGTGCTGGGATTACAGGCGTGAGCCATAGTGCCTGGCCCCCCCTTTCTTCTATCCTCCCCCTGAGGACATTGCTTGCTTTCCTCTTTCTGTTTGCTCTCCCCACCTCTCATTCCATTGTGCCTTTCACCTGTGCTGCCCACTACCCCTCCTTGTTGCTGTTGTCTCTCCTGGCTGCTGGTCACTCCGTGCCAACATTTACTTTATTCCTTGAAGGTTTTTAGCTCCTGGAGCACTGTCTCTCCAGCATAACTCCTGTCATCAATCGACACCCTAGTTCCCCTGACCTCAGCCTTGACTACCCCAGCCACTCACTTACCTGGTCTAACCCTAGGTCTTGTCATTGTCGATTGCCATAACCCCATCCACTTTGAGGGTCACACTCTCCAATCACCTCTACCATCCCTCCCTCTGCTACCCTTTGGTACCTGTCACCCCACTCCCCACCCCCTCAACCCACATCCCCAAAGTCCTTGGGCCCACCTCTAACTAATCTAATTGCACCAACTCTAACAAACTGCACCTGTGCCACTGAGTGTAACTGGTGGAAGCTGACTGGGCTCACCTTAACCCTGGGCATGCTGGGGGAAAGTAGACATCTACATTTGCTACCTGGGGTCCAATAGGTCTGCACTAGTGTGTTCTCATGCTGCTAATAAAAACATACCTGAGACTAGGTAATTTATAAAGAAAAAGAGGTTTAATGGACTCACAACTCCACGTGTCTGGGGAAGCCTCACAATCATGGTGGAAGATGAAAGGCATGTCTTACATGGTGGAAAGCAAGAGACAACTTGTGTGGTGGAACTCCCCTTTATAAAACCATCAGATCTTGTGAGACTTATTCACTGTCATGAGAACAATATGGGAAAGTCCTGGCCCCATGATTCAATTACCTCCCACTGGGTCCCACCCATGACACGTGGGAATTATGGGAGCTACAATTCAAGATGAGACTTGGGTGGGGACCAGGCCAAACCATATCATTTTGTTCTGGCCCCTCCCAAATCTCATGTTCTCACATTTCAAAACCTATCATGCCTTCCCAACAGTCTTCCAGAGTCTTATTTCAGCATTAACTAAAAAGTCTACAGTCCAAAGTCTCATTTGAGACAAGGCAAGTCCCTTCTGACTACCAGCCTGTAAAATCAAAAGCAAGTTAGGGTCGGGCATGGTGGCTCACACCTGTGATTCCAGCACTTTGGGAGGCCAAGGCAGGCAGATCATCTGAGTTTGGGAGTTTAAGACTAGCCTGGCCAGCATAGTGAAACCCCGTCTCTACTAAAAATACAAAACAATTAGCCGGGTGTGATGGCATGGGCCTGTAATCTCAGCTACTCGGGAGGCTGAAGCAGGAGAATCGCTTGAACTCAGGAGGCAGAGGTTGCAGTAAGCCAAGATCATGACACTGCACTCCAGCCTGGGTGACAGAGTGAGACTTTGTCTCAAAAAAAAAAAAAAAGCAAGTTTGTTACTTCCTAGATACAATGGCGGTACAGGCACTGAGTAAATACAGCTGTTCAAAATGGGTGAAATTGGCCAAAACAAAGGGTTACAGACCCCCCTATGCAAGTCTGAAGTCCAGTGAAGCAATAAAAAAAAAAATTTTTTTTTTTTTTGAGATGGAGTCTTGCTGTTGGCCAGGCTGGAGTGCAGTGGCACGATCTCGGCTCACTGCAACCTCCACCTCCTGGATTCAAGCAATTCTCCTGCCTCAGCTTCCTGAGTAGCTGGGATTACAGGCACATGCCACAATGCCTGGTTAATTTTTTTTTGTATTTTTAGTAGAGATAGAGTTTCACCATGTTGGCCAGGCTAGTCTTGAACTCCTGACCTCAAGTGACCCTCCCACCTTGGCCTCCCAAAGTGCTGGAATTACAGGAATGAGCCACCGTGCCTGACAGCAGTCAAATCTTAAAGCCCCAAAATGATTTCCTTTGACTCCATGTCTCATGCCCAGGTCACACTGATGCAAGAGATGGCCCCCATGGCCTTGACAGCTCTGCCCCTGTGACTTTGCAGGATATAGCCCCCACTCCCGGCTGCTTTCACAGGCTGACCTTGAGTGTCTGTGGCTTTTCCAGGAGCAAGGTGCAAGCTGTCAGTGGATCTACCATTCTGGGGTCTGGAGGACAGTGACCCTTTTCTTGCAGTTGCAGCTCCACTAGGCACTGCCCCAGTTGGGAGTCTGTGTGAGGGCTTGCAACCCACAATATCCTTTCACACCGCCCTAGCAGTCCTTCTCCATGAGGGCTCCACCCCTGCAGCACACCTCTACCTGGACATCCAGTCATTTCCACACATCCTCTGAAATCTTGGCAGAGGTTCCCAAGCCTCAGTTCTTGACTTCTGTACACTCTCAGGCACAACACCACGTGAAAGCTGCCATGGCCTAGGGTTTGCACTCTCTGAAGCCACAGCCTGA